ATCTAGTGAGAACAACTAATACAAAGTATCTAGTGAGAACAACTAATTTAAGACCATCATAATGCCCTTTCCTTGGCTTCAGGCTGCTGCTGAGAACTTAAGTAATTTAGCTGCAATCATTCATTTATATGGATTATTTCCAATATAAATATGACAACAAATAAAATACAGGCTAAATATCCTTTACACATTTTTACATTTAAAAATGTATGTTTTTCACATTTTAAAAAATGTGGATAAGCCGGGCGGTGGTGGCACACGCCTTTAATCCCAGCACTTGGGAGGCAGAGGCAGGCAGATTTCTGAGTTCGAGGCCAGCCTGGTCTACAGGAGAGCCAAGGCTATACAGAGAAACCTTGTCTCGAAAAACCAAAAGAAAAAAAAAATGTGGATATACCAGTCAAAATGTGGACCCTGTCACTAGTAGAACTTGTTACTACACTCAAAAAGTCTCCTATTTTGGAACATTTTAATTCCCACATTAGAGACGCTCAATTTGTAGTAAATTAAATATTAAGAAAATCAAGGCCTAATATGGTGGTGGACACCTTTAATCCTGGCACCATGGAAGCAGAAGCTGGTGGATCTAGAGTTCTAGGCCAGTCAAGGCTACACAATGAGACCCTGCCGAATGTGGGCGGGGAGAAGAAAATAAAATCATGAACTGTAGAAACTGGCTAATGGTAGAGTCCTTCCTTGCTCAGGATGTGCAAGGCCAGAGGTTCCATTGCTAGTCTCTGTCCATCCCCTACCCATACACCACACACTGCCCCATACACACAGGTTCCAAGTGACAGTTCTCCATAAATTTTAATTTACTTAACCAGTACAACTGTATTTCTATAGTAAAGAGATAACTTGGACCAGCTAAATCTACATAAACCTTTAATGGAGAGTACTAGGAGAAAAATATCTTTAAAAGTATTCCAAGCCAGGTATAGTGTACATGTGTATTCTCAGTGCTCAGGAGACTGAGGCTAGAGGTCAGTCTGGGCTATTTAGGGCAACCTTGAGTACAAAAGTAGGGAAACTGGAATGGGAGGAGCTAAAGGTGTGGCAGATATAACTTTCACTCTCCCCTACAGTACAGGGGACTTAGAAGTGTCACACACACACACTGATCTTCAGCAGAACTTAACTGTAGCCAAACCTAACACAAAAGCTACCAGCCAAACCCCGTCTAGTGCAGGTCACAGTGTTCCGCACTCAGTGCTGCATGGCTATCGCCACCACCCAGCTTCACAGTTTTCATTTTGTGAAACTGAAATTCTAAAATTATTGTTATAACTTTAAATGAGATACTTCAAAAACAAAACTATTTTTCATTTATCTTCCTAATCAAAATATAAGGAATAAAAATAACCAAATTATCTGTTCACATTGAAAAAATACTCAACTGCATAAAACATTCTATCAGATACCTCTCAAAAAGTCCAAAGATTGACTATAATCCTATTTTCTCTCGTCTAGGGTATTAAATATGAGGTGTATCAGTGTTTCATTTACCAACAGCAAATACTGCCAACTGTAAGCCAATCGACAACTGGAAATTGCACCTATTTCAAAGCTGTCAGAGTTTGGAAAAGTACATCTTAGAATGGGTACAGCACTGCGGCTAATGTTCTCCCAATGCCTGTGAACTAGTTTAAACAGATCTGTATATTCTGTGCCATGAAGCTCTTTAGGAAAGAGCCATGAAACAAATGACACAGAGAACTCTATCACATTACAGATTCTATACCAGGTACTATATTTCATTTCCACAAATAACATGCTGTTTTAAATATAGAAAAAAAGAAAAGCAAGCTGGAGAACTGGCTCTGTAGTTAAGCACATTTGCTATCTCGCAGAGGATGAGGGTGGGGTCCCAACACCCACATAGGCAGCTTACTACTGCTTATAACTCCAGTTTCAAGGAATCTTTTTCTGGTCTCTGAGAAGACAAGGACATATGATGCATGCATGAATACACTCATGGATATATACACGTGTATATATATATATGGAGAGACTCACATATGCATTATATATGTAACTATATATAGTTATACATGGTAGCACAGGGCTATAGTCCCAGTTACTCAGGAGGCAGAGGTAGAACAGGAAAACTTGAGACCATGAGTTTGAGATCAGCCTGGGTATAGGCAACATGGTGAGATTCTCTTTCAAAAAGCAAAACAGAGCAAAAAGGTAAAGTCAATAAAGGAGAGACAAACTGTTACGTAAGGAGAAACCAGCTCTACTATAAGGGATAAACCCTTTGGCAAATGGCTACAGCATGCAGAATGAATGACAACCTATAGGAAACTCTCTGATGTGGGGCGTGACTGCAGGAGAACACACTCGCTGACACTCCTCTAACCACAGGAAGCCAGTGCACCTGCCCCTTTAAGCCAAGGAGCTCTAATTCTGCCGTCCTTATACAGAAATGTTCGGGCTTTGTTTTCTTTCAGTCACAATAATTTTTTGAAAATGTAAATAATCTCAATTCTTGGCACACAACAGAGGTCAATGAACATGTGGAATGAGAACTGTCCCCTTCTATACAGCAGGTGACTTACAGATGCTGTGTGTTATGTTTGCCAAGGGACAAAAATCACTTCCAGATGGGCATCACAGAACTATCCACCAGCCCAGCCATACTTTCTACAATTTGTACATGAAGAAAACCAAGTTACTCAGAGCATAAAAAGAAAACAATTATTCAGAGGGAAATGTTAGAGGCTCCATGTGTTGAAATATACTATAACTTGTGGTCCTTCTGAAATGTAAGTCAAAGCTAAATAATGTCTATCATCTTAGGAGGGAATTTCAAAAGGTGAGGATGAAAGCAACTTATCACCTATCAGTATAAATAAGTCATTGTGCTTCTACACTACCATGTGATTACTAAAACAGACCAAGTTCTAAGTAACACTTTAGCAATCAACCCCAAAATCACAAAAATACTAGAAGAAGAGGATGCTAGGGGGAGAAGGAGCTGCTAAGGCAATTCCTGTCTTCAAAGAAACAATCTATTACAGAACGTTCTACTCTGGAAGTGCAGTGCCAGGATGAGCAAGCCCTGCCACCAGCTCAGCGCTGCCTTAGTCTAACTTATTATTAGAGAAGGCAGAGACTTGCAAATTAGGTAGGGAAAGAAGAAGTAAGAGACAGGAAGTGTATGCACTGTAGTGATGGTTGTGTAGAAAGTGCCTCTCACATTTCTGCCTAAAACCCTAACTAACCCTCGAGTCATGTACTGTATTTGAATTGTGTTTAACTTTCCATTTCAGACATTGTTTTAGGATAGAATTCTTTTTTGTTGTTGTTTGTTTGTTGTTGTTGTTTTTCGAGACAGGGTTTCTCTGTGTAGCCCTGGCTGTCTCAGAACTCACTCTGTAGACCAGGCTGGCCTCGAACTCAGAAATCCGCCTGCCTCTGCCTCCCAAGTGCTGGGATTAAAGGCGTGTGCCACCACTGCCCGGCTAGGATAGGATCCTAATAAGAGTTTAAATTTTAAGTGTTTTTACTGGGAACACTAGGCTCTTTCCTATTTGCCGGTACTGTGTGCCAGTGCCCCAGGCAAAATGCAAGCAGAAAGCACTACTAACAGGGCCATCATGGATGCAATTAATGTCCCAACTGTGACTTGAAATGCTGTAATTTGTCCAAGAAGAGAAAGCAATTAATTTTAAAACAGACAATTTAACCTCAAGCCTTCCTTAAAAGCTCCTCTGCGTTTTTGGTAACCCCACCCAATTATTATCCAGTCCTTTTTAGGTAACCCAGGGCAAGCCTCTTGTTGTCTTTTCTATTCTAATTGAAGGGTGGTTTGAGGAAAATCTTCTCATTATGAATTCTTTGCAAACCCTCCAATCTTAAGAAATTGTGATCTTTTCAATTAGGGTTCCGCAAAGCGAATGCATTCTGGAACACAACTCACTGTTCTGTGGGAGGAGG